AGTTCGTATTAACTATGTGTGAAATGGATTTCAAGTTGTTGGTATTTTTTTAGATAAATATTGTTTATATGTTATATCAAAGAAACTTACCACAATCTGATAATGGAATTTTACAAATAATATGACCTTCCACTGATGTGAAAATCATGTAAAGATCTGCCATTGTTTACAGTAGAACTAACAAAGCTATACTTTATAGACTACGGAATTCTATAAATGACATTATGTATCCTGACACTTCAACTGACTAATTTTACTAGTTACTGATTTTACTTATTAGGTTTTACCAAACCTTACTTGGCAACATTCTATGTGTTCAAATCTTATTTTATTTCCATTTTAAGATCTCTGCTTTGCAGATATGAAGACTGGTTGTTTTTTAGAGAGTTCTTTTACATCACATGTTGAACAGTTTAGAACTAAATATCTGTATCTAAAAAGGCAATATATCCCAGGAAAATCAAATGTCTTTGTATTGTTAAAAATGCAATAGGAAATGAACAAAATTTTTTTTATCAAATTTGAAAATCTGCAGAATTCAATGGATGCAATAAAACCACGCTATAGAAAAAAAAAAAGGAACATTTTAAACAATTGTCATTACATTTGTAAGACATTAAGGTGGTGAGGAAATGCTACTCCTAGATATTAGAGATCCGATAAATTCAGATTCAAGTAACAATTAATATGACAAATTTCTTATACTTGAATATGTGTCCAGAGAGTTAAGGAGAGTTTGTTAAACTACAGATGGTAAATTGGCATTTTTAAAGCGTGGAACATCAGAACCACTGGGGCAAATGTTAAAATTACAGATTCTTAGGAGTCAGACCTACTGAATCAGAACTTCTGAGGACAGTGTGGGGAATCTGCATTTTTACAATCCAGGTCTTTAAGCTTACTAAAGTTTAAAAACCAATACTCTAGTTTTCTTCATTCTTCAAATTCATTTTTTTAATATGTACTTTTTAAAATGTACATACAAAAAGTACACAAATCTTTTTTTAAGAAGCCTCCATGCCCAGCGTGGAGCCCAATATGGGGCTTGAACTCACTACTCAGAGATCAGGGCCTGTGCTCAAGGCCCAAGTTGAGATCAAGAGTTGGATGTTTAACCTAATGACCCACCCAGGCACCCCTTGAAAAGTACACAAATCTTAACTGAACAGGTAAACGAGTTACCACAAAGCTAACCCACCCATGTCAGCCATGACTTAGATAAAGACAGTAAATGCCACATGCTTCCAGAAGCTCTTCCAAACTTCTTCCAACACGCACCACTCTCTTGCCTTCTAACAATCACAAGTAGTTTTGCCTGCTTTTAAATTTTATATAAACTGAATCTTAACAGTATACACTGTGTCTGACTTCTTTTGAACAACATTAATGTGATTCATTCATGTTTAATGTAGCAACAGTCCATCTTTTATTGCTTTGAAGTATCTGTAATATGCTGGGTAGTAGAGGAATTTATAGGAATCTGGAATGAGATGGCCTCTCATCAGGCTAAGCAGGGCACAGTCACATGAAAGTAAATCTTGGTAATGAGATTTGTTTGTCCAGGCTAATCTTTGTTCTTCTGTGGTATGGAGCAGACCCAAGAGTTTCTATATTCTCTCAAGGGGAAACTCAGAAGGTAGCTGAGTGGGAAGAAAGCTCATGGATGGGAAGAAAAAAGGCTTACTTTGAGTCTGCAGGAAGGTAGCACAGGTGAAACCTGCATCCTGATCTATACCGGCCTGCTTGAGACAGAGCTGCAGAAGTGTGAGAGTTCTCCACATTTCTTGGAACTAAGGTGAGGCCAACTCAGTCAAGAACTACCTGGTTCTGACCAAGCTAGGAAAAACCTGATCGCATATTTCACAAGCTATGGCCTACTGCATCAGAGGCCAGTAGGATGCCCAGAGAATGAAGAACTGAAGACGCTGTCTCCCTGATAACATTGTATCACTTAAGTCCCCTTCATATACCTGGACACCAGTTTAAAGAGGAGACAAAGGATAGAAATAAGAGCATTTTCCCAAAAGTTTAAGCATTACCTCAAAATCTTTTAAATTGTATCTCCTTTTTATCAGACTAAGTTTTAAACTGGCTCAGACAAAAAGTTAATTTTTTCCTGACTTCCCATGGGGTGTGAGCTCAAGAGGAAAGAAATTCAAGTTGTCAGAAACTCCACTTCCTCTGCACACCTGAACTGTAGTGAGTAAATCTGCAACCATATAAAAAGTTTCCTTCCACTTTCAAGATCAGGCTCGAAAATACAGCCTCTGATTACAGTGTTGCAAATCATATTATGCTGATCATTTTAGTGTTTGAGATGTGAAAACAAGTAATAATGTGCTTTGTATTTTTTACGTATTTGACAAAAAATGATCCTGCACCACACTGCTTTTCAGCTAAATAGTAGTATTCAATGTCTTCACTACTCAAACCATATCCACCTAACTTCTACTCCTGCTATTACTACAACTGCCTTCTCCAAGGATCATCATGCCCCCATTACCCAACCCAAAGTTGTCTTTGATTTGCACCCTATTTAATTTCTCTGTACTGTATGACCAGTACAAAATCACTTGCCTTCTTAAAACTTGCACTACCCTGGTGTTCTTCCACCTTTTAATCTCCTTTTTTATCTTTTGCTCATTTTTTAAAAGTAGGGTCCACACCCAGTGTGGAGCCAAAGCGGGTCTTAAACTTACAACCCTGAGATCAAGGCCTGAACTGACATCAAAAGTGAGATGCTTAACTGAGGCACCCAGGCACGCCTATCTTTTGCTCGTTCTTTAAATGTATTTCCCCAAAAATTTTCTTAGCTTTTGTTCTTTGCCATATCCCAGGGCTGCCTTAATCATTTCTATTGCAATAATTATTAGCCTTATGCTACAAGATCCGTATCCCTAGCTTTAACGACTCCTGGATTTGGGGCTCTATTTCCAAGTACTGCTAGACATTTTCACAAAGCTATTGTACCACCAACCAAATTCAGTGCATCTAGAATAAAGTCTTCTCTGCCATAAACCTCTTCCTTATCTTCCCTATCACAGTTAATGGCATCACCACCTTCTTAATCATTAAGGATCAAAACTTAAGGTGTCTAAGTCAGGGCTAGCCGCAAGGAAAAGAAACGGATTCAAGACTGTCTAAGAAAAGGGGGATTTACTGTATGGATGTAACAGGAAAAAATCACTGGCACCCAGGGACAAGGAAATGAAGCATAAAGCTAAGCCAGCTCAAGAATGGGACTGCAAAGCCAGACACCAAGGCCACACCAATCTCTCACAGGCAATCAGTGACTTGGTTCTGTGAACCTATTTCATTCCATTGCTTCACTCTATAGATTAGCTTTCTCTGCTTATTCATCATTTCCTTTATATTTCGACTTGCTTCACACTGGCCCAGTTCTAAATGATCTTTTCACTTACACGTATGCCAAAACATAACAGTCTCTGAATTTCAGAGCTCAAATTATTGAGAATCTAACAAGCTCAGTCAGACTTAAGAACGGTTTCTCCCTCGTAAGGTGTTCAATTAAGCTCTGGACATCGATATGGAATCATTTGTTATAAATGTGGCTGTCTAATCCTCTAATCCCTGCCCTTCAGCAGTCAACTGTGCTTGGGCGTGTGAGGTTATAGGAGTTACAAACCTAGTTACCCAATCCTACTCCTTCAGCACAGGTTAAGGACAGAGGACTATTTCCTGTAAGATGGTGCAGGCATAGCGCTGGATATGTCTTTGACTCCTATCTCCTCCCTGTTTCAGACTTTCTTCATTCGGCCTATTTCAGTTAGCTGTGTGCACATTCCTTCCCATCACCATCATCCATCTCTTCTGGTTTGTCTATGCAGGGGAACAATGGCCTTTTTTCCTGTCCATTCAACTCTCACTGACTGCTCTGTAGTTCCTTCCTTGTCTTCCCCCATTAACACTTGACATTCTGCCTTGTTTTACTGCCATTATAGTCAGGCCTGTCTTTCCCATTTGACTTAAGGGTGGCATTTATCTTATCTTTGTTAGGTTTATGTATCCTGATCTCAATTTTCCAGTATTTGAAATACTGGCCAGACATTTTAATCCAAATAGATGTTCACATCCATGATGTTTACTTTAGTATATTCCTCTTGAAATTAAATACCCTATTTCTAGATCGTTATTATGTCTACCTGATAATCACCAAATTCCTTAAGCAAATATACCAAATCTCTCTTGAATGAATGGGGCAGGGGTTGCAGAGAATCAAAGAGTAACCATATCACTGTCTCAAGAAATTAATGCTCCAGTAACTAAATCTCCATACTGTTCATAAATAATGAGTAAAAATGTAGAATTTACTAGGTTGTATTTCTAGGTAAATTCTAAAGCCTCAAAAATCTGAGTATAAGATGGAAATTTCTATCAAGAGCTTCAATTTTAAATGCTTCCCAAAAGAAAACCAAGAAACATTTAGGCTATCAGTTCTCAAAATCTGGTTACATTAAAACATCTGTGGAGATTTTCTAGCTTGTACATCCCAAAGGCCTAAGGAGGGGTGGGGCTTGGCTAGTGTTATTTTTAAAATGTTTCTGATATGCATCAAATGTCAGAACAGTTATTCTAGGATAATTTTAAAAAACAAGAACATGTACATTGTCTTTATAAATGTACATTTCAACTACTCTCATTTGTACAATTTCCACAGAACTGAAACATACAGAAGTAATAAACTACTTTTACAAGAGAACGATAGAACCTTTTCTTTAAAAAAATTTTTTCTAAAAGTTGTCTATCAAAATCAACCTATGAAATTAAACATAAAACAAATACCATTTAAAAACAGCAAAAAATCATTTATATATAATCTATGGTTTCTTTTTTAAAAGTCTACAGTCTAACAATACAGTAGCAATAATCTAATACATACAAAATTATTTTAGAAAATAATTTCTCAGTAAGATTTTCAACATCCTAAACAGACTTTCAAAAATGTAGTCATATTTAATTAAGAATAGACTTCCGCAAACTGCATTGTAACAAATATATTTAAAAATGGGCATAATTAAAATGGTAATTATGAGTGTTAGGACAATACCAGATACAACTGAAATATATCCACATTATGATAAAGAAGAGTATAGCATTATGAGAAGAACGAAAAGACAGGAACCTCAGCCTTTGAGACTTACTATATGTAACTATGGAAGAGCACCAAGCCATGTCAATTTAAAAGAGAATTATTTTAGCTATGAAGCAGATAACGTGATGAAGAAAAAGCAAGTAAATCAACCTTAGCCATTCCAATCCAATAATATTAAAAATAATAAGTCTGAAGACTAATCTATGCAAAATGCTAATTACCATCATATTAGTGGAAATTTGGTAACTATTGCTCTCATAAAATTTTGACATCACTGTAGATTTTGAAATTTTATTCATTAGATGCTTGGATTAATGAAGATGTGAATTAAATATAACCTCTCCATTTCAGCAGACTTCTTAAAGAGGCTTAGTCTTTTAATTTTCTTTAATTTCTTCACATTCCAATAAATTCCTATTGAATTTAAGCCAGAATAGATTAGTTGAACATTTTGTAACTTTGTAAATTGTATTTAAACCAGTATATTAATACACAAGCATAATTAGATTTCTTAGATAAATTATTAAATACTAAGCTTGATGTCTATTATACAAAGGCAACAGTTCAAAGTCTATTCAGTTAAGTCAGTCCTACTGGTAGCAATCCACTGTTAAATGCTGACTGTGCTGGGAAATGGTGACAATCTCCACAGAATTAAAGAGTTTTACTATATCCTCTTCTAGTTGGCTCCTCTGACTAGGATGCCAGAGAAAATACAATTAAAGAAATCAATACCCAAAACCCCACATTAAATTTATTATAGGTGTAGTTTAAAGTCAGAAAACAAATAAGCCACAGCTAAAGCAATGGCAGAAATAAGAAATAATGTCACCATGGTGTTTGATCAGCAGTATAGGAATTGACTCTGTGGAACTGATAATTTAATGTCCAAAGACTAGGCAGTAAAATAAATCAATTATGTGGGAAAAGTGGAATGGGGAAGACTGGTAGTGAATATCAGAATGATATTCTATTTTCTACATTCAGCAGGAAGGAAACAAGACTACTGTGAAATTAAGACAATAGGCAAATGTTATGGTTTAATTTATAAAATTTTAAAACTCAAAACTTACAGAAAACTTAAATATAAAATAGTTAATAAACTGGCTTTCTGATAACTCAAATGTTCACTTATAATTGAAGCTGGTTTCTTAACTCTCTATGTAATTATAATGTGTCAATTCAGAGGCCAAGTGATTTAGAGTATGCATTAAATTTATATTTAAAAAATTCTTCTTAGAGCTTAATATTTTAAAAAGATTATAACAGGTGTAAGAGAGGCTTATCAAAAATTTTCAAAACTCAGTATTTTCCTCATCACCAGTAATCTAGAAACCTATTAAAACATAACCTGAATCACATTTTGAAACTGTCTTTTAACAAGGTAAAAAAATCAAATGATCTATTCAAAACTCATTTTGCAAAAGTAGTCTAGGATAACTCAGTTATTAAGTCGAAAGTACTGATGCTTGCTTTTCTCCAGAATACTGAATTCTAAAAGAACAAAAATGTACATACAGTTTTCTAGCTTTTAAGAAAAACACTTTAGAAAATTCACTAGAAAAGTTACCTCCAATGGAATATATTAAATAGCACAAGTCGTTCAGTACCTAAACTCTCTTAAGTAGAAATATGAAAATTTACTTTCCCCCCAGAGTTTATGTATTGATCTATGGGGCTTGGTAACAGCAACACTCTTGGCCGGATACTATTCTGGATTTTGCTTAAATTTTGAGGGGAAAAAAAACTAAAAAATCCCACAGGTCAAAACTGACTCATATAAATGGAAAGATTCCACTTCAATAAATGAAAGGCAATTTAAAAATGCAAAATAAAAATGAATTAAGGCAGCTCTAAAAGAAAATATAACTTGCCCATCCAAAACAGTACTACTACAGTATAATTCACTCCTTAACACGCTATGTTTATAATCTAGACATAAAAGCCAAAAATCAAAACAAGCGTTGCAGTTACGATGCAGCATCAGGTGTTTACTTCAGTGAATGAAAAATAATGGTCACAACTCAAATGAATGGTAATTTAATATGAATATATGCACCTTACCAGAGATGTTTATGTTTACTACCAGAGACGTCTTAGCAATTCCACATTCCTCACAAAGTCAGTATAATTGCTGTAAAAAAATCAACTGTGGTTCTGAATACCCATTCACAGTTGATCTCAACAATGTATCTGATGTAGGAGACTGATTATCTGTGACAGGCAGAAGGATGTGGTGGTCCTCAGTTCCAAGTGGAAGAGATAGTGGTAAAGTCATATCAGAAGGTTTCACATCCAATGTTTCTGATAACGGACTTTTTTGTATAGAATCTTGTTCACTCAAGGGATGATCCTCTATACTAGAATCCAGAACTTTATCTGCACCTGAAATAGAAGGGAAACAAATTTAGCCTATCTTTGAAAACAAAACAAAACCACATAGACTAAATCTGCTTACCATTTCAGAACCTGCATTCCAACCTCCACACCTTTTACTTATGCTATTTCTCTTACACTGATTTACCTTCATCATCTATTCAAATCCAATAGGGGTCTCAAGCCTAGGTTCAAGCACCAACTTGAAATTAAAATGGACTTAACTGTTCTAGACTAGGGTGAGCTGTTATCTATTTTATCACTCGCTTGTCAATTTTTCATGTGCCACCTTGTGACATCTCTCTTACTGCTACTGAACATTCTACTTCAGTATGCCCTGAATTCTCAACCTGACTGTAAATTCCTTAAGGGTACAGATCAAGTTATGCTTCTCTAATTCCTTAAAAGTACTTAATAATAGTGCTATACATATAATAAATTTGTTTGCTAAACATATTAATGAGTAGTTCATACTATTCTCTGAGTTCAAGCACAGAGAGGTATGGCAATTTTGTATATTCCAGAAGTGAGAAATTTTGCTCTACTTAGGGAGTGATTATTACCCTGACCATGATACACTTTTGACTTCAAATTTTTCATGAGCTTTACCATACTCCTGTCACTCCAAAGTACTTACACGATTTCAATCTCCGTCTTCATTAGACAAATTTGCCTATTAACTTTCATAAAATTGTAATTCTCTGTTCTTGACAAACTACTCTTCAGTTCAACCAGCCAAGAATGTAACCTGCACTTCCCAATGACTCCCTTTACAATATTCTCTCTGCCTGAGACAAATGCTCTTTTCCCTATCTCCATCCTTCAACCTTCAAGTTCCCTAGAATTAAGCCTTTCCAATACTTACCACAGAAAGACTTTATCTCTTCTTTGACACTTTTGTATCTCTATAATACCCTACATTTTTTCTTGTAATCTCAGTTATTTAGCTTTCTGGTCTCCCACACTAGACTGCAAATTCTTTGAGGACTAAGAATGTGCCTTGTTCAACTTCATGTATCTTGCAGTTATGTGTACTTTGGAGGTAGAAGCATTTCATGTTTGTTCAATTAACAACACTGCAGTTTTCAGAAGTTACTGACTTAACCCTTATTATATTTCTATTCACTATCAGACCTGTTAACATCTCTACACACTGAAGAAGCCTAGTATTTTGTTTCCAATCATGACAAACACAGTAAAACTTTTTCGAAGATTTATTTTAAGCAACAGACTTAAAATTTTATAGTCTGCCCTTCCATTTCTATGTAACAATTTGGGGCTACCTGTTCCCCTATTTATATCTTTCTATTATATTCCTTCTTCTATGTCTCTGAATTAGGGCTCATGATGCCCTTTTCTTCACGTAACTATATGTAATTCCCACATAACCCAGACTCTGGTATGGAGAATAGTGATACATACATATATGTATGTTTTTTATATTCTTTCATTCTTGAAACTTCATAAATCAGGTTTTTAAGAGGAAATATTTCAAGTATTGTTTATTAGAAGGTCAATATGTAAAGAAATTCTTAGTGAACTTATCTACAAATTATAAAGCTCCCTTCCTAATATGGGTATACCTAATTTTAAAAAATATGTATCTAATTTAAGCTGTCAAAATGTGCATCTCAACATTTTAGGAATAGCACCAATATGAGAGCACCAAATTTTTATAAAACACAAACATTTACCGGAATGGACTTTTGTTTTGTGCTTCTTTAAATTTTTAATATCTGTGTAAGAATTTCCACATAATTCGCAGATAAATGGCCTTTCTCCTGAAAAGCAAGTTAAAAAGTTTAAACTCAATATTTTAGAAGCTGCTAAGACAAAAATACCAATGTCTATGAACAAAGTGCAAAATCTACTGTTTAAATTTAGTTTTAAATGATCTTTTTAATCACTTGGTTATAATACAGTGAAATGAAAACTTCTATACATACTAGGCACTCCTTTACTTTATCACACAAAGTATCCCCATTTCTGGGAAAATGGAGCATGTTTATTAACAGAAATTTAACTTACGCTTTTAATTCTATTAGACATTTAGTGAATGCAAGTTATCTGCCAGACCCTAAGAGGAACAGCTAAGGGAAAAAGTGTAATTATGGTTTCTGCTTTCTGGCAGCTTACAAATTAGAAAATCCTTTAAAAACAGTGACAGAATAAAATGCTACAAAATTGTAATTCCTCTGAAATAAGAACTGTTCAATACTTTATAAACAAAGAGCATGAGAAAATAGATGCTTATTAAATGTCTACTAGGTGCTCACATTTTTCTAGATAGGAATCGTGAGGAATAATTTTAAAAATAAAAAAATCACAACAGTACATTTTCACTTTTGACTTCATTTCAAAATGGCATTTTCCTTTAATTTGTTCCATATTTTCTTCATACTACACAATGCTATTACAAAAAACACATCAATACTAAAGTTCATTCTGAAAACTTGCTTACTGAACACTAATTGGTAAGAAAATATATCATCTTGATATTATCTATTCCTTTTCATGTCTTGGTACACCTGTGCAACTTAATCCAAATTAATCTAAAAACTATTATTATCTGGCATATTAGAAAGTCTATACAATTCTAGACCAAATTTAATTAATACTACTCCAAATAACTTAAAAAATAAAAAAGCAAGTAAAAAGTTAATATTTATACATTAAAATACTACTAAAGGTAGAGTATGACTAGATACCATATAGTCCATAATGGTTTAAAAGTCAAGGTTTACATAAAAAGAAATTAGAGAGAACCACAAATAATACGTTCTCTCTAAACACAGACCTGTATGGGATCGAAAGTGTTTGTTGAGCTCTCCTGAGGAAATAAAACTTTTCCCACAAATACCACATATGTATGGTTTTTCACCTAGATGGAAAATAAAAGATAGCGAAGTGGTGTACTATACCAATATAATATTTATCAATTACAATAATCTAAAGTAACCTGAATTTAAATTAAAACCTCTTTATATATTGTATTTTAGAGGTATCTTCAGTGTGAACCTACTTAGATGAACATCAGTAATTATTTTACACTGTTCATGTAACCTGATGCTTTTCATATAATAAAACTTGATTTCTGCAAAATTCTTCCAGTAGACTAGAGTTGGGCAAGAAGTTCAATTTTTATATGATTACAAACATATGATTAAAAATTCATCAATCCATTACTTTAATTCTTGCTATCTACTATATTAAGAAGAGTAAGATTATTCAGAAAGATCTGTTTTAAAAGGTACCCTATCAGAACTGAAAATCTTTGAGTATAATTTGCTTCAAAACTGATACTCTGCCTCTGAAGTATCCATTTAATTTGCAAATCATAGAATGTCTGCATAGGAAAAGTCCTAAGAAGTCATAAAAATCTATGTTCTACCTAAACCCACTCTCACCCCATAATTTCACTCTACAGTTTTATCCAAGGAAAGTAAAACAGAGGCTAAGGAGTTTTTCTAAGGTCATAAAATATGACTCAAGTTTATATACTGTCAAAACTATCTGATTTTAATGTACACAAGTTAAAATGATAAAAAAATTCCAACCACCATTATTACTCTAGAAAATAAATCTGCTTTAATAGCTAGTATTTATGTGAAAACCACAAACACAAAAAGCTTCAATAAGCACAAACACAACAGATATACAACACAAAGTCTATAATCTATTTTCCTTAAGGGCTCAATTTCCCTTTTTCTTTCTTTTATTTACAGCTTTTCCTTATTTTAAACATCTGTCAAATTCTTACCTGTATGTTTTCGAGAATGAGTGATAAGAGAACTAGAGACAGCAAATGCCTTCCCACAAGTATCACACACATAAGGCTTTTCTCCAGTATGCCTACGAACATGATAGGTCAGTGTGCTGGCTTGAGCAAATCTCTGTCCACACCTATCACAGACATATGGCTTCTCTCCACTATGCTTCCTATTCATAAATAAATATAAAGTTATAGGCTGGTAAGTAAAACAATTTGGATCCAGTCTCTGCAATAAACATTTTTCATACAATTTTCACGCAGTATTTTATTTCATCTTAACAGACCAAAAATACTATTTAAAATTAACAGTTTCAATGTAAACTGTCAAAAATAAATGTTTTGGTTGTTATCAAAACACCTGTTCTAAAATTAGTTAACAAAAAATTGTGCCAAGCAATGAGGTATCACCTCACACCAGTCAGAATGGCTAAAATTAACAAGTCAGGAAACAAGAGATGTTGGCGAGGACGTGGAGAAAGGGGAACCCTCCTACACTGTTGGGAATGCAAGCTGGTGCAGCCACTCTGGAAAACAGTATGAAGGTTCCTCAAAAAGTTGAAAATAGAGCTACCCTACAACCCAGCAATCATACTACTGGGTATTTATTTACCCCAAAGATACAAATGTAGTGATCCGAAGGGGCACGTGCACCCAAATGTTCATAGCAGCAATGTCCACAATAGCCAAACTATGAGAAGAGCCTAGATGTCCATCAACAGATGAATGGATAAAGAAGATGTGGTGTGTATATATATATATGTATATATACACAATAGAATACTATGTAGCCATCAAAAAACCCGAAGTCCTGCCATTTGCAACGTCATGGATGAACTAAAGGGTATTATGCTAAGCAAAATAAGTCAATCAGAGAAAGACAATTATCATATGATCTCACTGATTTGAGGAATTTGAGAGGCAGGGCAGAGTCTTGGGGGATAGGGAGGGAAAAAAATGAAACAGGATGCGACCGGGGAGGGAGACAAACCATAAGAGACTCTTATCTCAGGAAACAAACTGGGCGGGGGGCAGATAGGGTGGCTGGGTTATGGACATTGGGGAGGTATGTGCTGTGAACTGTGTAAGCCTGATGATTCACAGACCTGTACTCCTGGGGCAAATAATACATTATATGTTAATAAAAAAAAACTGTCATCATCTTTATATGGTTGTCAAGTATGCCCCTAATACCACAGGCAATTATTTTCACTTGTCCATTCATGCCTTTTTTTTCTTTTTTTAAAGATTTTATTTATTTATTTGACAGAGAGAGTTAAAGAGGGAACACAAGCATGGGGAATGGGAGAGGGAGAAGCAGCAGGGCTCAATTCCAGCACCCCGAGATCATGACCTGAGCTGAAGGCAATCACTTAACAACTGAACCACCCAGCTGCCCCTCACTCACTCTTTAAAACTCTTTCCTTAAACCTCCAGCACTTCCTTACCCATCCTCATCCTTAGCTGATGTCCTTGCTTCCTGTTTTACTGAGAAAATTTAAGCAATCAGAAGAAAATTTCCACCATCCCAACTCTCTACCTATAGAGGTACTCATGTATTTGCTGTCCTTCTGTTAACTCTAACATGAAGGTGACCGTTCATCTGAATTCAACTACTCCTATCTGCATAATGAAGATAAACTATCCTATCCCCCATTCCTACTCAGTATCACTCCTATATATTCCTCCACCATTCAGTTTTCCCATCCCATTGTATCACAGCATAAATATACTGAAGTCTTCAATCTTAAAAAAAAAACACAAAACACCCCTGACCTCTTTTGCTTCTCCATTTCTCTGCTCCCCTTTATCAAAAATTTGAGTCTCCAACTGTTTCCACTTTCTTATCTACCATTCTCTACTAGTCTCTGCTAACATTGCTTTTGTTAAAAGCACTGCTGACCTCTCACTACTAAATTCAACTGAATTCTCAGTCTTTACCTCCCTATCATCAGAATTTGACATAGCTGACTGCTCCCTTCTGGAATAATTTCCTTCACTTGGATTCCAGGGCAGTCTACTCTTGGTTTTCCTCCCAGACTGGCTGCTTCTTCCTAGTCACCTCTAAGTGACTCTGACTCAGTCCTTTGATATCTTTTCTATCCACATTCATTCCCCTGGTGACCTCATTCAGTGTTACAGCCCTAAATACTATCGATGCACTGACGACTCCCAAATTTGTACTTTAGCTCAAACATGTATGTAAGTCATACAGACTTACATAACCAATGTATATCTCCATTCAAATGTCTAATAATCATCTCAAATTTAACATGTTTGGATCTCCACTCCCTCTTAAACTGCTCTATCCACAAATCTCCATTTCAGTTAATATTAATTCTATCTAAGGCTTGGGTCTGTAAACCTCAGAATTATCTTTGATTCCACTCTTCTTTCCTCCTTTCATACCCCACATCCAATCTGCAGCAAAATCTGTTGTTCTACCTTTAAAGATATGTCTAGTACCTGAATATTACTTATCTCTTCCACAGTTACCATTTTGGCCTGTATCATTATCACTCTCACTTGGATTTTATCTATAGCTTCCTAACTGGTAACTTTGCTCCCATTCTTGCAATCTTACATTCTTTTTCTAATATTGCAGCCAGAGTCATACCCTTCAAATGTAAACAAGATACATTACTTACTTTTCAATCTCAAGAGTAAAAGCTTTATAATGACCTACAAAATCTTACACTGTCTAGATGCCCTATCACCATTCTGATCTTATGTCTCTCCCTTATTTATTCCTCTCCAGTCACCATGGCTTCCTTCTGGTTCCTTGACTATGCTAAGAAAACTTAATGGTGGAGCCACAGTTAGAACTCTATTGTCCTGAGTGCTAATAAAGTAGGCTATTCCAAAGACTATGGTGAATAACAGACTCAAAGACCAAACAACTCATTGTTTTGTTTTTTACCTTGCATGAATCTTGAGATTGCTAGAAGTTGCAAACTGTAAATTGCATACATCACATTTATAAGGTTTTTCCTCACCATGATGCATACGACTATGGAAGACCAGCTGGCATTTCTGAGCAAATCCTTTATCACACAATTCACATTTGTATGGCTTCTCACCTGAAAGAACAAGCAAATAAAATTTATATTTAAAAGGAGATATTATTTGAGCTGCTTGAACCACATAAGCTTTCAAAAGAGTTCATCAACAGTACTATTTTCAGTATTCAGAAAATGTTAACTGCTAGAAGTAAAAAAACAAATGGGATTTTTTTCCCGATTGTCTATTGAAAACATTAGTAGAATTAAAAGAAATCAGTGTTCTCATTTCATAATAGTGAAAGGTGATCAATGAGAGAAATACACATTGAATCTTAAAAGTACAAATCTAAGTGTACCGACAAAGGTAAACACAGAGGCTGAGGAATGAATGTGTGTGTAATGCTAATAAACATGTTCAGAAGTTGACAGTCTAGGAAGCAGAAGGTAAGATGGCTGGCAAAGTCTGAGAATTGTCCCGAGTTGTAACTACTTTTTCTCTTTATCAGTTCTCTTAATCTCTGTTTCTGTTAAATACTTAGCACACTAGAATCAAGTTTGTGTTTATTGTAACTATGAGAGAAAATGGCACAAAGACCTCAAACATTAGGACTTCAGAGTGATCAGCAGCAATAAAACAAATAACTATTAAATACTTGGTCACAATTACAAATAAATTTTCAACAATCTAACATGCATTTGTGAATGCAAGTATATACCAAATGCTGGTCAAAAACAGTCAACACTGCTTATTAATATGTTCTGTACGAAAATATTACTTCAGTATAAAAGCAATTTTATCTCCCACAAACCAGTCTTACCTGTATGAGTTCTTACATGTGTTTTCAGCTGGTTACACTGGGTAAATGCCTTTCCACACAAGTGGCAAACATAAGGTTTAACTCCTTTATGTATTCTCATATGCCTTCTCAAGCTGCTGGCTTCTGAGAACACTTTCCCACATGTGTTACACATTGGCTTGGCCTTGGAATACCTCTGATCCAGCTCTTCCCCAGAGCTCTCCAGCTCGTAAGAATTCTTGACACTGGCTATGTTAGACATAGAGTGTTCCTTCAGAGCACAGTTGGGTTGTGATTTTCCACGTTTCCGTTTCACTGTAACAGTCTGCACAATATCTTGTGCTGGAAAAGTATTTTCCACAACTGATGTCAACTCGAGTTCTGAATTATCATTTCTTTGTGAAACTTGATCTATTACAGGTGTGGATACTTTATTTGCATCTAAGAATAATTCAACAGACGCGTTCTCTAAAATGTCACTGGGATATTGCACTGTTTTATTCTGTCCTGTTTTCTGGGAGTGGAAGGCCTTCTTCTTCTTTTTAGTTTGAGATGACTTCTTTGCTAAAGCCCCTTGTTTAGGATTGGCCTGAACTAAATCTGTAGACACTTCTGATTTTTCCCGACTGTTATAATCTCGTAGAGTAAGGAGACAAGTCTGTTGATTCAATTCAATGTTTCCAGTAATACTAGATATTTCTGTAGAAGAGGGATTAGCAATAAAAGCAAAATCTTCCATCTTTATTTTACATTTAGTGACCACCTCTTCCACCTTGAGATAGTCAGCAGCCTGGTGAATTTCTTTAACATTCCAACTGTAAGGAAACAAGGCTAAATGACAATATTCTGAACAAAGAAAAACTACTTGTGAAAACAGAGCTGCACATAAATTTCAATGTCTTTTAAAGACCTAATGCAGCAAAATGATGAAAAAATTCATTCACTCATTCAGGATAATGTGTAGGCAAAAATCTCCAGTTTTGCAACTTGAAAAGATGTAAACAATTTGTTACATACTACATTATGTACCACTATGAGAAAATAAAATGTTAAAAATAACTGTGTGTTTTAAAAAATACTTGCAACACAAAAAGTAGCTGTTGGCAACTTACTGCCTCCTCCCATTCATCCTGAGGCCTATTCAGATACAATCATCTTTTCTGGACTTACAACAGCGAGTCTAAAAAATTACTTCCTATCATCTTTCTATGCTCCCCTGTGAGGGACCTTAACTGTGCTTCTCAAACTTTCCCATGCCTGTGAGTCACCCAGGTATCTTGTTAAATGAAGATTCAGATTCTGTGGGGAGGTCTGTGGTGGGACCTAAGTGTCTGCGTTTCTAGCATACCTGCTGGTGATGCCAATGCTGCTTGTTTACTGATTACACTTGGAATGAACAAGGATTTAGAATGCACTCAGCTCTAACAACCCTCGTGTGTGTGTGTGTGTGTGTGTGTGTGAGAGAGAGACTCAACTCATGTTAGTTGGAGAGTCTGTCATTACTAGAATTATATAAAAAGACTTAAGTTCACCCAGTTCAGCATTCCAGTCAATATTTACTAAGCATCTATCATGTGTGGTACACTAAGAGGGATATTAAGAAATATCAAATAGTCCCTGCCCTTCAGAAGTTTATATTGCAAAGAAAAATTGTTTGATTACTCTAGTACTGGCTCTGGCATTACAAGGTGAATTCGTCACGGTAGTCAGGACATTTAGGCACTCTGATTTTCTTAGCTATAAAATCTGAGAGTTGAGGGGTGCCTGGGTGGCTCAGTTGGTTAAGTGTCTGCCTTCAGCTCAGGTCACAATCCTGGGAACCTCCTCAGCAGGGAGCCTGCTTCTTTCTCTTCCTCTGTGCTCTCTCTTTCCGTCCCTCAAATAAATAAACAAAATCTTCATTTAAAAAAAAATCTGAGAGTTGGGGTGCCTGGGTGGCTCAGTGGGTTAAGGCCTCTGCCTTCAGCTCGGGTCACGATCCCAGGGTCCTGGGTTGAGCCCCGCATCGGGCTCTCTGCTCAGCGGCGAGCCTGCTTCACCACCCCCGCCCCCACCACCTGCCTCTCTGCCTGCTTGTGATCTCTGTCAAATAAATAAATAAAATTAAAAAAAAAAAATCTAAGAATTGAGTAACTACTAATATAAAAATATGACCCTTTTAAGTATCTGAGAATAAATACACATACACACACAGAAACACACCCTCCAAGCAAACTTACTACTTGCCATTTTCCCCAAATAATATTAAACTCTTCAGAAAAAAATGTATTTTCCCTGTCCCCTCTTCATTATACATATAAACCAGAAAACAGTTTTAGTCACAGCTTATAATATATAGTGCTATTAATACATCTTTAAAAAAAGAGTAAAATTTGAAATTAAAAATTAACTAGTGTCATAAATCACTGTCTTCGAATTTATACTACAATATCTACAGAGCTCTATCGATTTTCTCATCATCTAATGAAGACTTCTTTATTTCAAGTGCCACCTATATGTTTCTTTTCTTTTCTTTTTTAAGAATTTTTAAAATTTGTCAGAGAGCGAGAACAAGCAGGAGGAGAGGCAGGCAAAAGCAGGCTCCCTGCTGAGCGAAGAGCCCAAGGTAGGGCTTAGTCCCAAGACCTGGATGTCCCTGTTTCTTCTTTTTTAATTTAACATTACACTGGCTTTTAAAAAATTGCCTTTCGTTATATACATAATCATTTTTCAGCTCATTACAGATTAAGTAGGTTGATAGGCCAGTTTGGAAACCTAATCACAAGTTTAGGGAACATTTTATTTTCTGGGAAAATATACCTCGAATTCCTAAACATACTATAAACTCTTGGAATATAACCTACTTGCAAATGGAGTCCTTCCCCTAGATAAGAAAACATTATCTAAAGACTTCTTATGTCCCTCAGTTATAATTTTGGAATATATAACAAATGATCTTTATAATGAAGTTAATTCTCTATTTGCAAAGATAAAGCACAAATGCTCCAAATATAAACACAATCTTGTTCATCTTTTATACAAAGTATTTTGTTTTTGCCATATATACAGAAGCAGTAACACTTTCTAAAAATGTTATGCTTTTCCTTAAGCATGTTTATTAATTTTGTTACAGTCTATTATTAAATTACAATAAATGAGAAATACCACTAGAACAAAACCAAATTTATCACTCATTGTAATAAGGCTTCCGATTATAATTGTGCCTTAGTGTTCCATAAAATGAACCACCAAACACATAACAAGGTCTGGTAGCATTTAAGACCAATACAAACTAGCACTGAGTGGCACATTAATTGTTTAGTACTGATACAGTATTTCGTACAAATTATTCATCTATTTCATAGACAGCCTATATCTCCGTTACGGTTAAGAGAACCAATCATCATCTGTTTACATCAATAACTGCTTTTGTTTACAAGCATGAAGTCACAGTGCTTGCAAACTTGCTTTCATCTTTTGAACAGTCACTGAAAGTCATTTAATTACATAGTGCCAGATATATGGCTAAACACTTTACATGAACAGTTCATTTAATTCTTAGGACATGTCTATGCAATCTGTAGTAATTCATTTTACATTCAAATGAAAGCTAAGAGGGCCAAAGAAAGTTAAGTTGTACAAGATCACAGTGTGTTAGAACTAAGATTTGATCAAGGAAATCTGGCTCATGAGTCCACTTAATTATTTATTTATTTTTTTTCCCACTAAATTTAACCACTAAGTTATATACAAACTTTCTACTTTTGACGTAAGCCTTCTCACATCTGTGGCTGGGCTCAAACAACTAGTTCCCAGGAAAGGTATGTACCAAAAAAGACTGAGCAAAAATCTGGCTCTTTTCACATTGGTCCTTTGCATGAAGGCTCAAAGTAAGATGCTCTTCAGTGTGTTCAAATCAATTCAAGATTGTTCTGGAAAGGTTAACTGAGAAAGGAAAACTACTAAATTGAAGATCAACCAAAATTCACTAGTTTTATGGTTATTTTATATTACATATTCTACATATTTAAGTAAGAGGCACCTGTAGAGTCAACTATTCAGCAAGTTTAAATAATCTGTCATGTGGGTTAATCTATGACACTGGTCTGTTCCTTTAATCAATTCATATAGAACTGACTTAAAGATGTCATCACCCCAAAATTTAAAAATAATTCCAAACAGTACAAATGTTTTCTTTTCAAAAGGATTAAGGAACATCCTGCTTCTAGCTTTTTAAAGAATAAGTTGCAGTGTAAAACAGAGAGAAGAATTCTGCTTACTGTGTATGTGTATATATATATAGAGAGAGAGAGATCATCTAGAAAAGAATGAAAGAATATTTAACCGAAATGTTAACAATGATTATCAGTGGGTGGCAGAATTTCAGGTGTTTCCTTTTGGCTTCTTTCCTAATTCTTCTCCAAAAATTGTGGAGTTAAAGGGAGAGGAGAGTAGAAAAGGGAAGATAAATGAAACTAATGTTCATCAGGAGGAGGGCCTTCATGTAAATCCTTGATCTTTACAGTAACACCAAGGTAGTTACTACCATCTTTTACTTTTACAGATGGGGAAACTGAGGCCCTCAGAGGTTGCATCTTGCTCAGAGACACAGTGACTGACAGGATAGACCTAACTCTAAAGCCCATAACCTTTTCATGTCAGATTATGATCTAGTCATGTTCACACTTTCATAAGAGATAAAGAAAACAGGAGTAATTTGATTGGTTTCTCTTCCACCTCCACATTTCCCTCCATAACTAATAAATGCATTAGTATTAAACTAATTATGTAGTTCACTATGCATGGGAGACACACAGCACCTACATTATCAAATTCCTCAGAACCTACTTCTTATTAGTGCAGTGAGAGCATTAAACATTTCAGAAAAGCATTCTAGCACCTCGGATCTGATTTAAGCATTAGTACTGATAGCTTTACAGAGATAACAGGAACCACTGCCATTTACACTCCAAGGAAATTATTTTCCTGAAACAAGATCAGGAAGAGGTCCTGCACATTGCTATCTATGGTTAGAAATGGGAGTATTACTAAATGAACACTGAGGCTTATCCTTCTTTCTTCATCTACACTCCCTTACCTCCACCACCATAAGAGATAGAGGATAGAGTGAGGGAGGAAGAAGAGCAGAGGTAACTAAAGACCAAAGAAACTGGAACTCAGAATTCATTGTGTATGTTCCTCACGTTTTTATAACTGAAATCACAGGCTTTATTTCAGTAGATAAATCAAATATGTCAGAAACAAGGCTTTAATCTTATTAACGCCTGAGCCTTTTGTGCTTAAGAAATGCAGTCTGTTCATCCCAAATCAGTAATACTGACTTCTTTATTAAAAACAACAATAGCATTGTACACATGACTGTAAGACAACTCCAAGTTAAGGGACTGAATGGAAAAAATACAAGTATACTTTAGCCCTACAGACTGCTGACTAGCTTTTATAAGTGAAAATAAAATGTGTACTTTACCTGTCAAGATTTAAAGTTCCTGTGTATATGAACTCCAACAGTTTCTGAAATCCATCAGCCTTCACCTGACTCTGATCAAGGAAGACATTGTTCTCAGAAGTGCTTCTGTAGACTGCACCAAAATACTCACTAAATGAGGCAAGCACATTCCTATGAGCTTTAAACTGGAATTCCCCAATCACTACAGTGCAGTCACAAAGAAAACCTGCTTCCCGCTGTTTGTTCAGTCTCTCTAAAAGGTGCTCACAGTGGTGCGAATACTGCATTTTGGTATCAGAATGGAATTTTACCCTTGTTCTAAAAGACAAAAAGAAATAGCAAGTCAGTAACGCTTAAGTTTTCATCAAACATTTCACCCAAGCAACTGGTAAGGGGAGAAGGGACATGGGACAGAACATGGACAAAAACAAAGTCAGTTCTCCTTTACTGCCTCCCCCAACGAAAATTCTTATCAAACAGAATAGTTTAAAATGCTGAAGGGTAAGTTCCTGTCTATCTACGTTACATCTTGGACAACTAACACAATCCTTGGGACACATAAATAAATGGCGATAAATGAAAACACTTGCATGACCTGAAAAAAAGCACCGCAAAATTTCACGCTTTTGCAGCAGTAGAACCTTCAGACTTTCAAACTCAGTACGCACGCACATGCGGGGGAAAAAATATAACAAACCACTAAGAAATGACCCCCTTTGAACAGATGGCGAAAAAACACGGTACGAGTTCTTTAAAATTGCTTTCAAATCACCGAAAGCAGTTAGTTTCCGTAGTGCACAGCTGCTTTAAAACGCGAAGTGGGTGCCCAGGCGTGGAGAATGAGCAGAGCCAAGAGTTGTCAAGGTTCCGTCACTCGCCCGGGGGAAGCCACACCCCCTTTCTTCCCACTTCTCCATTCCCGACCGCAACGGAGAGTGACAACCAAAGCCACCGTCTCCCGGCTTGTGCCGCACTGCCCTTCGCCCAGCTCCCACTACCTCTAGTTCCCACAGCAGAGGTTGCGGCCAAGGCCAACATCGAGCTGCCTCCCCGAGCTTTCCACATTAATACCTTCTCCCCGACCTGAACTGGAACTCCAAGAAGAGTGCCCTCCGATGGCTCAGTGTCTAGAGAGTGGGACTGGCAATCTGGGGGGTGAAAAAAGAACTCACCTAGAGCAAACCAAAGGGAACAGTTTCTTCACGCTCTCTCCGCCATCTTGGAAGGACGTCACCGCCCCCTGCTCCGCCTCTTCCTTCTTTCTCTACGAAGACATCATATCCGGCCCGGGCGTCCCATGGAAACGCAGGAGGCTCTGGGACTGTGGAGGTCCGAGCCCGGCGAGGACCCGCCAGTGTGGTCCGGAAATTCCGCTCCTCAGCATACTAGGGCCCCGGCGAAACCGCAAACGTCATGAATATGGGACTTAAGCCTTGTACACAGCGCCGCGCTTGTCCTCCTCATTCTGAACATTGTGGTCGGCCGTCGGCATCTCTCCGACGGTCCGCGGTTGGGCTGCACCTCACCGAGGCCCTCTTTCCAGGAGCCGGAGTGTGCACTGCATGCTGGGGCTTGTAGTTCCTCTTCTCCCATCATCCTCCCCTTCCTCGGGACCCCGCGAGTGCAGGCAGCTTGTGTACTCAGGCTCCTGGCCATGGGAGATTTTCAAGCTGAGACAGATCACCCCTTTTCAGTTTACGTACCCGAAAGCTCTTGGGAAACCCCTGGGTTTGTTGCATCAGTCGACTGCAGCTTAGTTTCCAAGATATCCTTACCTGTTACAAGTCTGAGATGCATCAAAGCGGAGCAAAGCAGTGGGGTACACTGGGCACGCGCAACATTGCAGGAAGGTGGGCTTTATACCGGAAGAGGTTCTGCGTCTGGACCAGAAAAATTTTAATATAATGGTTTACATCGAATTCAGATTTTGTACAGTGAAGGAAAAGGATGCCAGATATCTGCGTAACATACAAACGTTAGTATGTTAGTTAATATGTTAGGGTGAATTTTTTCCTAGTTTTTGGTGGGCATCATAAGCCTCAGAAAAACAAAACTTCATTTTTTCTTGTTAAAAGTTGTGTCAGGGGCGCCTGGATGACTGAGTCGTTAGGCGTCTGCCTTCGGCTCAGGTCCTGGTCTCAGAGTCCTGGGATCGAGCTCCTCATAGGGCTTGCTGCCCGGCGGGAAACCTGCATTTCCTCTTCTACTCCCCCAGCTCCTGTTCCTGTCCCGGCTGTTTCTCTGCCATTATAAAAAAAAAAAAAAAGGTTGTGTCAGGACTTTAGAATATTTACTTATGACTTCATTTTAAAGGACAACAATTGGAATTTATTCGTTTCTTCCGAGATTTTTCCAATAACATTCTGTTTCCTCTTTAGCTTCTTTTCTCTCATCTGTAAAAATCATATTTGTGGATAAAGCACTATCATGTTTATAAGAGAAAAAGTTGAGTTGGGTTCTTGATTTCATCTTTCTGATTTCTTTTATATTTTGTCGGAACCCTTTTCAGTAGAAATATTTATGAGTCTCTACCAGGTGTTAAGCATGACACCAACTATGCATAGTATGAGTAAAATACGGTCTCTTGGCGTTTAGGGGAATTTGCAATCTGAAGGGGAAAACTAATGGAAAATTAAATAACTTGTAATACAAAGAATGCTCAGGAGGCAACAGGGCTAACAGTTTTTAACACCAGTGTTTGAGCTCCTCTCTAGGTTGTACATTACATTATTTATCAGTAGTGGTTTGGGAGTTGAAATTTTTTTTTCTAATTTTGAAACATTTCTGCGTCTCAAGTGGTCAGTGAAAACATTTGCTGAATAAAATAACTAAGGTGAAAGTTCAAATTTACACTGTTCCACAAGTTTGTATTTAGATTGCCTTTTAGAATGCTAGATTGGTAAAAATGACATGGCCCTGTTTGAGGAAACCCAGTAGGAAAGGAAAAGGCAACAATAAGCTGTTTCCGCCCGGTTTCGAACCGGGGACCTTTCGCGTGTTAGGCGAACGTGATAACCACTACACTACGGAAACTCCACTGGCTTCGAAGCTTCAGAATGGCCTAGATATGGATATAGTTCCATGGAATTCCCGGCACTTAAAGCAGTACTAAGGTAGCTTTTAACAGAGAAACAAACAAACAAACAAAAAAACCAGAAAAGAAAAAATGACTATACTTTTAATTGTATGATGCTGAAAGTATTTTTGAAAGTTGGAATTTGCGTGCGCTTCCCCACCCCACCCCCCCCAAGAGGCCCCTAGGGACGGACCGCTGCAGAAACCAGGCACAGGCTCCTTGCACTTCCTTTGGGTACACTCTCTTCTGTGGGAAAGAAGTGTTTTATTTGGCATTCTCTCCCCGCCACGCAGTGCTGACAAGCCCGGGGCAAGTGCGGGGCTTCGTTGGAGTCCCCCTTCTTGCAGTGGTCTGCTGCAGCAAACGCCACCTCTGTTACTTAGTAACTTGACCCTTCCAGCCTCTGGTGGAAGGACAGGACAATAGCTTTTCAATTTCCTCCCCTGCTTCCATAGACCAACCCGAGGTCCGAACTTGCCTACTTGTTTTTAAAATTCTCTACACAGTGTGTAGAATTAAGGGGATAAAAAAATCAGACACAAGATGCACTTTTTGGCACGCAGTGTACTTAAATTATTCTAATCTTGAACTTCACATGACCGAGGGAATATCACTTTTCTTGCAAACAGGCAGACACGTCCTTATGCCTAAAAATCAAATATTTTTAGGAAATGAGAATGACCTTCCATATCACACGAGGGATAACCGGGTGAGATTCTTAAAAATCAATCAATCAATCAAAAGAAAAAGAAAAAGCAAGACTCTACCATTTTGGTTTTGAGCACATTTTGCTTAGAAACTGCAGGAAAGAAACACAACAAAGTATTTGCCCATCATATAGAAACAATAATAAAAGTATATAAAACCCACTTTTTTTTTTCTTTTAAGATTTTATTTAAATTCAAGTTAGTTCACATATATTATAGTATCAGTTTCAGGGGCAGAATTCAGTGATGAATCTGTTGCACATAACACCCAGTGCTCATTATATCATGTGCCCTCCTTAATGCCCATCACCCAATTATCCCATCCCTCCACCCCTCTCCCCTCTAGCACCTTTCAGTTTATTTCCTATATTTAAGAGTGTCTTAAGGTTTGCTTCCCTGTCTTTACCTTATTTCATTTTTCCTTCCCTTCCCCTTTGTTCATCTGTATAAAACCCACGTTAAATCCCAGCATTTTTTCCTTTTTCTTTTCAGAAGTTAAGGAGGGTTTCAGAAGCTCTTCTGAAATTCAGCTTCTTCGACAACTTTCCCCTGTTTCTCTCCACCTTTTCCTACTTTCAAGGGCACATTCCAGAGCTTTCCAATGGACAGATGCCTATTAGGCAGAATTTAAAGGCTTTGGAAAAGAAAATTGTTTTCATGGCCCATCCAGGTATTAGAGAAAGCTACTTGTAAAGGGTTAGATTTGTATCTTCAGGGAAGAAAGTTGGGTTTTCCTGATACTGGCATCCCTGGATTCCAGGGGGTGGCAAGTGACCCAGCCCCTGTGAGAGGCAATCGGTGGGCAGTACTTTGAAGAGTCAATGGGTCAGGCCTCTCCCTGCCCCCTGCGCGCCCTGGCCACGGCGCAGGCCTAGTGGGGCAGGCCAGGGCCTCTGTGACGCGACGTTCCAGGCGGTGAGCCTGTTAACTCTGCCCAGAGCCTGCGCCCCGCACTTTCCGCCCCACTGGCGCAGCCCACAGGCAGGGCAGCCCGTGTGGCCAGGCAACAGGAGGCAGCGGCGGCGGCATGAGCTACTACCAGCTACCAGTCGTGATCGACAACGGCTCGGGAATGATCAAGGCGGGCCTGGCTGGCTCGCGGGAACCCCAGTTTGTCTACCCGAATATTATCGGCCGAGCCAAAGGCCAGAACTGGGAGGCCAAGAGCGCGCTGGAACTGTGTGTGGGCGATGAGGCGCAGGAAAGAAGACACTTACTGTCCATCAGGTATGGCCTTCTCCCAGTAGGCAGGACCCACGTAGGGGTAGGGGGAATCCAGATGAGGGGCTCAAAGTTGCCAGGATATGGAAGCCGGGAACAGGAAAGTTTCAGCCCGCTGGTGCAGGCCACAAATCTCCAAGGGGTACTAAACGTCCAAGAGTTAACATTACTTGCTCTCGGTATCTAAACAGATGTATTCAAATGTATAAAATTAATCATAAGATATAAGTTCACTAAGAATATCACTTAATTCATAGTACCCTCATCATGTGGGTTTCTTCAATTAATTGATTTTAAAACTGTACTATTATGTACCCTCATCATGTGGGTTTCTTCAATTAATTGATTTTAAAACTGTACTATTATGTAAAGATTCCCTGATTTAAAAAAAAAAAAAGATTCTTGTGGGGGCGCCTGGGTGGCTCAGATGTTAAGCGTCTGCCTCCCGCAGGGGTCATGATCCTGGCCCTGGGATCAGCCCTTCATTGGGCTCCCTGATCCGAGGGAAGCCTGCTTCTCCCTCTCCCACTCCCCCTGCTTGTGTTCCCTCTCTGGCTGTGTCTCTCTCTGCCAAATAATTAAAATCTTAAAAAAAAAAAAAGATTATTTGTTTTCTAAACGGGGTGGGGGGGATGGAAATCAACAAAAATTGCAGAGGAAGGGAGTAGCTGTGCTAACTGTTGCTGACAGTTACCTTTTCTGACTGGCAGTCACTGCCCTAGAAAAATTAAAAGCTGCCATTGTAAAAAAAAATACAAAAAAAAAAAAAAAACAACCCACAAAAAAACAAAACCTGCTGCCATTTATCTTATTGCTTTTCCTACAGCTACCCAGTGGAGCGTGGTCTGGTTACCTCCTGGGGAGACATGGAAGTCATGTGGAAGCATATCTATGATCATAATCTGAAGCTAAAGGCCTGTGATGGCCCAGTCTTGATTACTGAGCCAGCACTGAACCCACTGGTGAACCGGCAACAGATCACTGAAGTGTTTTTTGAGCATTTGCAGGTTCCTGCCTTCTATATGTGCATCCAAGGGGTGCTTGCTCTCTTTGCCGCTGGCTTCACAACTGGCTTTGTGTTGAATTCAGGTGCTGGGGTGACCCAGTGTGTGCCCATCTTCGAGGGTTACTGTCTGCCTCATGGTGTCCAGCAGCTAGATCTGGCAGGCCTTGACCTCACCAACTACCTCATGATGCTGTTGAAGGACCATGGCATCATGCTGCTTAGTGCTGCAGACAGAAAGATTGTCGCAGACATTAAGGAAACCTCTTGTTATGTGGTAATGAACTATGAAGAGGAAATGGCCAAGAATCCTGAGTCTGTAGAGAAAGTTTACCACCTGCCTGATGGGAAGATGATCAAGCTCCATGACCAGCTCTTTCATTGTCCAGAAGCCCTCTTCTCTCCACATCTTATGAACCTTGATACCCCTGGCATCGATAAGTTGTGTTTCAGCAGCATAATGAAATGCGATACGGATCTGAGGAATTCATTTTTCTCTAATATTGTCCTTGCTGGGGGATCAACCTCTTTCCCTGGTTTGGACAAGCGGCTAGTTAAAGATATAGCAAATATGGTACCTGCCAATACGCCTGTGCAGGTTACAGCTCCCCCAGAAAGGAAACTGTCAGTGTGGATGGGAGGCTCTATTCTTGCATCCCTGTCTGCCTTCCAGGACATGTGGATCACTGAGGCAGAGTTTAAAGAAGTTGGACCCAACATAGTACATCAAAGATGCTTCTGAATACAGATAAAATGGTT